CGTGAGGTCCAGTGTAGTTAGACCTGGACATAGACATCTATGCTGCTAGTTAGTGTTATGGAGTTTAAGGTTAAGATTTATGATCTAGGGTTAAGTTTAGAGAGTTGGGGTAATGGTTAGGGTTTAGGAGTAGGTTGAAGAATAGTGTTGGAAAAACCAGTGGATCTGGAATTACCATGACATGCAGTCATTTGGATGGATGAGTATATCGCGTATAGTACGATTTCTCCATGGATTATCCGTATATTGACGTTTTGCGTCAGAGTCCTGATTGGTTGCTCAAGGTCATTGTGACTGTGGATATGATAATCTAGCTTCGCCAATTTGTGATATTAAGACTACACTTTGCTTGACTGGTATGGAGTGCACATTCTAATGTTCAAGACCTGTTTTAACGTATACACTTACAGACTGACGTCGACACCAATTTTGCGCTCTCTGCTTATAATAATAATGTATTCTAATTTCGTACATAAGGGACACCAGTTTACAGGCATCATCAATATGATAAATTACATATACGTTCAGTGAGCACATTAAATAATAATGATTTGATAAAATACATATTTTTTCCTACCTGTGTAGGACACACCAATTACAAAAGCATGGAGAAGTATTATTTAAATGACATAAATTTGGTTTATGGTTAAGTTACATGGTTGCTGTCGGACAGTGACGGATAGTTACATTCTCTGAGTTAGTTGTGCAGTCGTTCAAACTAGATAAGTTATTACACCGTTCCCTGAATTATCTCGCCTTCTCATTATATCTAAATATACTGCTTGAAAGAGCACGTTGCTATTTAGCCGGGTCTTTTTAATTTGCATCTTGTCATCAGTACTTACAAGATAGGTACAGTACTAATTTATCGAACACCAGGCAGACACAGTTTAGCTTATCCATAGCATTACCAGCACTCTAAAAGCACGTAATGATACTTTCTTTATCTTTAATCCACGACAGGGTGAAATGTCTGCTTTACAGGTCACATGAGGAAAGACGAATTCGAATATTTCACCTCCTTGTGCAAAACTTATGCGGTTTGAGACATTGCAAAGTCCTTCCTGATACTTTTATCGTCGGCCGATGTAAATGTGAGCTATGAATAGTGGTTTAGCTTTGTTAGTGCTTTCGGCATCTACTTTATTCGTTCTTTAGATGATAATGATACTTTAATAGGGGGAATTATGTCTACGTTTACAGAAGATACGATGCATACAAACTCATTTTCCTATCCCCCAACTCATCTAGTACTCGTTCAACTCAAGCCAGAGACAAGTGGAAACACCTCATTGATCGCTCAAAATATGCTATATATTTCGGGATCAGAGACGTAGTGTGTCGGTAGTTGCTTAGCTAGGTAGGATCGTGCAAAAGCTACAGGAAGTGACACAACAGCGTGCCAAGTAGAATGGATGCTTGACTAAGAACCTTCAGGCTAATCAGCTGGCTAAAACGATGTAGGTCAGCATTCAGTTTTGAGTGAGAAGTGCTTTAGGCTAATAATTTTAGAGAGTTCTTTACTGCTAGAACAGAATCCCTCCTGTCTAGGACTACAAATAAATATATACGTATGGCCAGCCTAATACTGTTTGAAGCAATCAGTAAATGTCTTTCCGTCTGAAAAGGGCAAAGGTATAGTTTTTCAGCCAAAGTTCATTGAGTGACAGTTGGCATTTTCGCAGTACGTTTGATACTTTGGAATTATTTATCTGCTCCTTCTATGGCCATATATGGCCTGGTTGGTGGAACTTGATACTTTGGGTGGGAAAAATTTTCAAGCGGACTTTACTGTGGTTTGTAAATTAACTCTCATCGGTGGTTCACTAGTAGAATTCTCTTCAGCAACATGAGGCGTTCGAGTCTGATTTCTGGCAGGAGGACCCCTAAACCTCACCTCGTATACTATTGGGTATTAAGCCTGACCTCTTCTACCTAACCTTTGCCCAAAGAATGAAGGCAGATGTTACTGTTTTTCAAGGATGTGCAGTGCGAATTCCCATGTTTCTAGATTTTATCATAATGTGTACAAATGTGAACCTACTCCAGCGCCACTTTCGGACTCCTCAATTGTGCTACCAACACGCTCGTGCTTTGAGTTTGCAATACAGCCATATTTATAAATAAGCTCCAAATCTTCTTACTTGAATAACACACATGAGGTGAAGTACTGATTTATTAGGTAACTGGATAAACTGCATTGAGTGAGAGCCACGTTACTATAAGACTGCTAAGGGTTCGTTTTGTACACCTGGGGATGTAGTTAGGGCTGGTGGAGAGGGACAAAACCGACGGCATTGGTCTGGATATGCTTAAATCCGGAATCTCCACCAAAAACAGTTCAAAAAACACTGACAAGTGGCGACCGTTTTCGTGACACTAAACGAAGTAACATGCGAGCAATAATTTGCTATTTTAGAGGAAACGATCCTCTAAATTTCTGCATCATTCATTCATAAAGATGAAATTTCCCCATATCTAGTTCCGATACGAGTAATTTCACTTTCTTCTATCTTGCGCTGGACGTGCACTGAGTCTCAGGCTCAATTTTTATTGTGTCATGTGATGAGCGGTAGTCCTGTGTGAGCAGTTACGCTTAAACCAAGCTCTCTGACATCTGAGAATGCAGTAAGAAGAGTTCACTCTGGTCTGTAAATGTGTCACTAGCGAAGGAAACTGTGGTGACATCAAACTGAGTAAGCTGCGAACTGCGAATATGATCTCACATATTATGAATCCGTGTTAATAGTTGACTAATATCTGGCTTTTAGAATACATTCAGACGATTGAGCTCATGTAACCGCTGATAAATTCAGCATGGCGCCGGAAAAGTAATGTCTATTTTTTATCCTGCTAAAAATATGTTATCTGCAGTGCACCTTTCGAGGTGCACATGAAAGTAAATTAACGAAAAGTCAGCTAAACAGACGTCCAGCTTGAACGCAGATAACTATGTAAGAGTCGAAATGACATTGTTCTTCTTTCAACCCCAGGCAGAATATGAGGTCGCATGATCTTGGAGAGAATCTGGGTTGAAAACTTTATCCAGGACGACTCGGATTCATCAAAAACAGACCATGTATAGGTAAGGTTGAAGCACCGCGCATCATAATTAGATGAAGCGTAGAATGACTGGCAACGATATACGTCAACTTCATCTACGTTGAGAAGGCGCTTGACAGTGTCGAACCTCAAGTGATTTGATAGCCCCTTCAACACTGCAAACGAAAAAACCGCAGAAATTCACAAACCTCATTTAGTGACTATTTGACAATGCTCCATGCCAAGTAATTCACAACAAAACGCTCAGTAAGGACTTTGAAGATGAGGCAGGACAAAAGCAACGACATTCATTACCACCGATGATCATTCTGCATGTGATGTAAAGGCTCATGCAACAGTCAGTATGGATGGGCAAATGCTGGACTGGTGGAAAACACCTAGGAGATCTGGACTTCTCGAATGATTTTGTCTCGCGTTTTACCGACCCGAAGAATTGCGGGGAAAACCAACAAGTTGTCTGTATAGGCAACAAAGACTAAGCTTCATGTGAACATAGAGAAGATGGATGTGATGCAGTTGTTTGACCAAAAATAAGCACCAGTCACAAAAAAGTAGAGGAATTTAAAGGCCGTGGTCTCTGTCATTTTCACCCGCAGGGGAAGTGTCGCCTCTGCAACAGACGGGCATTGATGAGTATGTCACAAACGGGATCGTGTCAGGTAAACTTTTTGGTTGGGTGCAGATGATGCTAAATTACTTCCAAAATGTGTGAGGCCTGTGAAGTTTGAGTAACTGCAGATGGAATACTTGACCCCAGCCATCCACGGTTGTTGGCACTGAAGAGTTGGTATACAGTGCCATGTTGATGGTGGTCTTTTAGGTAGTGGCCGGTTAGAAGTTATCAATAACAAAAGCAATAATAATGATAGGAACTGACTTGGATGGAATGATGCGAATTTGGGAACAGATATGCAATTATCAGCTGATCTGTCAAGTTTTGCAAGGTTTTCGTAAGGGCAGCACACATAGCACCCCAGCAGCAGTTGAACTGCTAGTAGGCACAACGCCAAGCAACCTGAAGGCCCATGACATAATTCCGCGCAAACACAAAACTCACTTAGGTCAGCCTACATCAGACGTCAGGCCCTTCACTAAAACTCAACTGAGGACTTCATGTTTAATAGAGAGGATGTCATGAGAGAGTCGTGAATGGCCAGCTAATGAAGACATCAGAGAAGAGGATGCAGTGCAGATGTGCTGCAGATTTCCTATGCTCCACTCGGAACGCAAGGAATGAACAGTTATAGTGTCCTTAAACAATTAGTATTTTTACAGTGAAGTTGAAAAGTAACGTGTGCTAGTGTCTGCTTTTCAGTGAAAGATCTGTATGGTTTGCGGAAAAATGAGACGATATAATCGCTGCTTATCGACTAAATATGAGCACTTAGAAGCGGACAATATTAATGAACATTGAATAGTGTATGGGAAAATAGGCTGATTCAGTCTTTATTTCATCATGTCCACCATATATATAGGACTAGACAATTCCTGTGCTTGTGGTGCCTAAAATACTGAGCTTGTTGACCTCAATTAGTAGTAATAACGTTAATGATCGCTGTGTAGCCACCTGTCCTCCTTCTTCTGAGATCTGCTGACACCTTATCCTATCGATCTTAACATGTTCGACAGGAAGTGTTAACACGACCAAAGTAGTGAAGGAAAAATATTAAATTAACACAGGTTCGAGAATGTATATAGGTAAATTAGGTGATAAATATGTATAGGAATGCACGATCACAGAACAGTAGACATAAATTCTTCAGGAGTGTTGACTTTGTGAGACAACAGTGAAAACTGACGACAATTCAGTAAGATTCGCTGAGTTATGTTTGTTCAAGAAACGAGGTGAATGGATTTACAAGTACAGGCTTTGGTAGAGAATGTTTGTTTAAACAAACCAACGTTAACTTGTTGTTAAGACTCATTTTTGATTTTAGCGTTTCTGCAGCGTTATGAGTAGCACATTGGGTTCAGGCACGCGATATCATAGAGTTTCTGAAATAAAAGAATGGTAACTCGCGATATTTTTATATTCCGGGTATATTTATTGCTTCTGATATATGGTTACTCTCACATATATGTGTTCACTTAGGTTATAAGTTTAAGGCTTTATTTTATTTGTAATAGTGACAGAAATGTGAAAAATAGCTGCAGTCAAATAGTTTTTAAGGTTTTTGTTGTGCTTATCTTTGCAATAATTTTTGATGAGATTTTTACACGTATGAAGTGCATTTCACATGCACTGCAACTGAATGATAATTATCATTTTAAAAGGTTCATATACCTTTTTTCTATTGAGAGACTGCATATTCAATGACTCTACTTAAGGTTTTTTGCTTTTTACATGGGAGTGTCTGTCATATATCAGTCAAGTATAACGTTTATGAGAATTTACAATTGTTAATTTCAATTAGTCTCTGTTGGTTCATTAAATGTTTTGTTGGTAGGGATATAACTGTTTTGAACTTAGGTGACGCGGATGCACGAATGCTTTTATTACCTTTGAGAACCGTCACAACTTAACCAACACAAAATACTGCAACAGTTTAGGCTTTCTAGTATTTTCTTGAGTTAGGTGGATACGGTCACCTTCACAAACTGTGTATCCATGCAAATCAAATAGGATTCGATTCGATTCATAATTTTCTGATATTCTCAGGTTTCTGACTTTTGCTCCAGAGTGATGTTGGAACCTGTGATTAAGCCATGATTAATATATTGACAAGTTTTTGTGGAGTGATATAATGTCAAACTGATGTTTCGAGGTCATCTGTCAACTAAAGGCTATATTTTACGGATTCTATGTTCTACTGACTAAATCAAAAGACCCAACTGTTAAAGTCTTTCATCGTAATATTTAGCATCAGTCCAAGAGGTCTCGGACTATTGGTTTGTTACTTGTTACTATTTGTTTTCATTGGTATTCTTATTTCATTACATTTAGGTTTCTCTAATTTTAAAATTGATTATATTTACCTACTCAAATCCTTAGTGAGTTATGCCTGAAACTATTCAATGTTATATAAAGTAACAGAAATGGACACCTGCTAGAAATTTTTACTTCCCCGCAGGTTGGTATAACTAGTTCTCATTGACATGTCATATTCTTATGATTGAGGGAAGTTACTGTCCTTTTAAGACCGAAACCCTCATTACTGATGGCTGAAGGAAGGAAATTCACTAGAAAGTTGTTCAAATCCTGGCTAAATGGGTGAGAGATTGTATTCTGTATGCACATTGGTGGCCTGTGTGAAATAAGCTCTTCATTCTTATAGGGATAAGTCATGATCTGAATAGACCAGTGGTATAACTTTTGGCCCCACATAGACGATTAAGATATTAATCATGGTGAGAAAGTTTTTTGGTTGTAGGTGTGCTTTGTAAACATATGTCAGTATGTTAGGATCTTCTCCATTTATTCTTCCTAGTACTCGGATGAGAAGTGTCCCAAAGTGTTCAAAAGTGATTTATTATTTATTTTGATGAATACGCTTGATCCATAAACTGCCATCACTATACCTAAAGTTGATTGCTACGCCTAGTAACATTCCTACTCGTATTCTTGAGTGTTTCCAGTAGGTTCATCTTAGATATGTTGTTTTCTCTTTAACTTGGCATAATTTCTGTTTTTCAGATATGCAATAGCATAATGTGGTGAGACCACAGTCTGCATGTAGTATTTATGTTCAGCGCTCTCGAATATGCTAGAATTTACATTATTTGTGACATACACAGCTCATGGTGTATATTTGTCACACTACTCTGCAATAGTGAATTTACTAGTTTTCTGATCGGATTTATATAACATCCGGCAGTAAGGACTCAACTATGGTTACACCTTAATGACCGATAAATGGTATCGAATTGCTCAGTGGTAACATCTCTGAGTGTGGCACTGTCTGATGCAGTTTAGAATCACCAGTCAGGAAGCCTATGTTCAAAGCTGACTCCAGCAATTTGAAATTGAAGCGAAACTCTTAATGAGGCATTCAGCTAACTAAGTGGAAATTATTCACCAAATCTCAAGTAAAGTATATGAAAATGAGAACAAAGAAGGTTTATGAGATGCTAAACACATCGTATATAGAAAGCCTACCTGGAAAAGCCTATTGACAAAATTTTACAGTTCGGTGCACATAAATCGTTAGCAAAACCTGATAAGATCTCTTGTGACGACTACCCGAAGAATCTGTAATCCTGATTCAGCAGATAAACAGATCACTGTTTTGAAGAAGACACTAAGTGAAAATGGCTACCTCCCACACTTCATAGGTAAACGCATAAAAGCCGAAACCAACGAAAGCTGAAATGTTTCTTCTTATTTCTACGTCTGGACGGATTTTGTTTTATTCCTTTACGTTCCCCGTGGAACATAAGTGTCTTCAAGCTAGAGGCTTGGAGTATCTGTAGCAGTGGTGCTTATTTTTACGGGATAGAGTTGCTAGCCTTATGCCAAACTTACCCTCTTCCCCGGATTTCCTACCTGCTTAGCGAGTTTAAGGAGTGCATCAGCCGAGGACCGAACTTTGATCCTCTTGCGTGGTTGGCGACCATTCTACCGATGAAGCACCGGTGCTATCTGGAAGGATATTTTTCGTGAATTTAATTTGGCAAAGCTAAACTTTAAGCACCACTAACTGCCATACAGCGAATCACCTCGGACTCACCAATCACGTGAAGAAATACATATATTTATGAAATAATGCATAAAAACTGTATAAAAATGTTACAGAGGATACCTCCCTCTCACATGTGATAAAAATAGCCCTCAGTTTTAGGTTAGAGTATCAACAGAGTAGAATTCCATTGTGGGTAAAATTTATTTTGACAAAGTCTCATAATGTAATACAGTAATATTTACTGAGCAATAAACGGTGTTCAAAACGTACTCATCTGAAAATATTACTGTATAACACTGTGAGACTTTATCAAAATAAATTTTACCCACACAATGGAATTATACTCTACCATAGTTCACAAGTTCTCTTCTTATATCAACAGAGTAATTCAACCACATTCTATGCATTTTATTATTTAGACCTAATCTTTCCTGAACCTAACCATGACGTGTAAATATCCCTAAACTAACTGTAATCTAACTCCAACCAACACCCTAATATCGCCTTTATTAGGTGTTAACCTAACCCTAACTTGTCCTTGGCTTAAAGCATAACTTAATCCTTCCCAAACCTAATCTGGAACTTCCCAGATATTCCATTAAATAGCGTAACACTTCGCTGAGCATATATTTTATTGATGATGACAACATTATTTGCCAGGTTTCACTGGCTTGCTGAGTGAGCGAGCGTTTCAAGGTCATTGATGCGACTGCACTCCACTGGTAGTGTTAGTGGTGCTTAAAGTTTAACTTGGCCTTAAAGTTAATGACGCAACAAAAATGAGGATAAAAAAGTTGTCAGGATAGTACAGTACTAATTACACACACTGTCTTTCTCTTAACAGAAATAAGGTTATCATCACCTCAAGGTAATGTATTCTACAAACTGAAGCAATGGATGCTTTCTCTGTATTACACTGGGTTCAGACCTTGATTAATATTCAGAAATTTGACGATCAGTCTGCAAGTTAAAAGGTCAACAAAGACACTGACAGCGTTTCTATTTTGTTGTCTCAAGTGTATGGAATAGTCATAACTTGTGTAATTGCCCTTTTCAGTTCCCACACAGTGCGTTTATTTGTATATATATATATATATATATATATATATATATATGTGAATCGCATATACATAGATATGACTGTACAGCTATTGGGAATGAAATCACTGAAAAGATATCTTTACTAAGCTTCTTTTTTCTCTCTCTAATAACATGATAGCGCGTCGATGGCAGATCAATAGAATGCTCGCCAATCACGTAGATGGTTCGGGTTTGGATCCCCGACCACGGGCGCACTCCTTTAACTTGCTAAGACAGTAATAAGACTGGTAAAGAGAGAAGGTTGGGTATGAGGCTAGCAACTCCATCCCGTAGAAATAAATACAACTTCTACCGAAACTTCAGAGCATTAGCTTGAAGTCCTGGAGACGTAAAGGAATAATTAAAAAACAAAACCTTCAGAGTTTGACTAACCTTCACTCTATATCTCATATATACCAACATAGAGTTAATAAAATTACAAAACAAATAAGTTTCATTTTTAACAGGATGAAGAATTTTAGGTCAGCAGAAAAGTAAATCAGGGGACAATACAATTTTCGTTTGAAAAACATTAGGAAGCAGAAGTTAATCTCTATTCCCATTTTTTGTAACTAAGGTGGTTGGCAGGGGGTAAGGTATCTTCTCCTTTTTGTAATGGGCGTTTAGCTAAATTCTGTCACACCCTTTTTTAAACTAATAGTTCATAAGAAAACAAACAAACAGGGGTAAACACTTTATAGGTTTATCCTTAGAGTTTTAACCTTTAATTGGTAATTATTTATATTTCCCGGTGACTGATTATATTTGAAGTATTGTTTTTTGTGGGGATTTTTTTTGATTGTATGGAGGATTTCATCATGAGCTGAAATCGGTTAGAGAACCATTGGAAAGCCCACCAGGGAGTACTGGACAGATGTTTTGTCCTAGTCTGGGACTCTTCACAGTACGCACCCACTACCAATGGTCGAACCGAGGACCTAAATTGGTTGACCCAAATAAGATAAGAAATCTAGAGAATACTTCAGTTATAGCATTACACGCAGTTACAGATGACTATACAATAGGATGGGATAGGATGACAGTTTTAGAATCTAATGTCACAGGGTGAATGGAGGGAGAGATTGATAACAGAAGCTTTGTTTATCGAATCAACTGCAAATACATGTAATAGGAATGATTCAACACCTGTCCAGCTAGATATCTGGAAAATTCTACTACCCCAACGATGACAAATAAGAGAAGACAAAGAAAACTATAAAAGTCAAGTTTCAAAGTCGTGTGATTACAATTGATATGATTATGAACAATAAATTTTTTTCGAAAAGTAATCCAGTATATCATACTGTTTTAC